AAATAGTAAATAATCACACAAGAATCTTGACAATGACAAATGTTGACGTGAAGTTGCCATGTCTCTTTAAAATATGTAGGTACTGTAGCGCCATCTGTGTATTCGAAGAAACTAAAATAAATTTCAAGGTCGCCAATATGAGATAAATATCTATATGGTTTTTGTCTATGGTTGTGCCTAACAGGATTGCGTCACAACTCGTAGGAATATATTAAAAAAAATGTCTCAGAACGAGGCCACAGAAAGAAGTGACATCGGAGTCCATAAATAGAAAGAGGAGGTAGGCAACAACGATTGAGGACTCTGTATCTGTCCCAAATAGATTTTAATGACACCAATGACAGTCCTACCTACTAGCTAACTTTTAGCACAGTAAAGCAATTTCTACAGAAGTTACTATCTTCAAGGGGATGGGGGTCAGATGTCGCCTTGATATAAGGGCGTTGAATATACTTCAGCTAAATATCCAAATAGCCAGGTTTATTTAATGTTGGCGGGACGCTTATATATAGCAGGTCTGCCGTTCCTTATTTTTCAACTAAAACAGTTTTTTGTCTCTACTGAAAACTTTTATTTTGGGCACTTACAACGTTATGGTTTGTCGCTCCTCAAATATACTTTATTTTTCATCTTTTGGTTTGTATATTCATGGCTTTTGATTTTCCAGAATCAGGAATGGTTATGGTAAATTTCTATTAATTCTGATAAAATCTGTTGTCCACTCTGCCACGATAATCGAAACTCGTATTTGATCGGCTCCTTCAGTAATGCCACATGAAGTCTAAGAGAAATCTTGAGATTTCGCTACAGTTGAATTTTGAAGGAAATGTGAGTTTTTAAATGATATATAATTATACAAAACTATTTTAAATACTTTATATTGTTATATATTAATTAATATATAAGTACATATTTAAAAATTAGTGTACTAGAAAAGGGCCTATTTTAGGGGAACCACCAGTATCAGATTAATTTTAGGAAATTACCCACCTACCTATATACTGCAAGCTATGGATTTATCGATTCAATATTAGCCAATAATTATAAAAATTCTTTATAGTTTAACCCTCTTTCCCACGGGTGGGGTCTATCAGTACACCTATAAATGAAATTGCTTAATTTTTTCACTTTTTTTTGTATTTTTTCCTAGACTTAATGTCACTAAATAGTACACTTTCGCATAATTTGATGAAATTGTATGAATCGCTTCAATTGCTACCTGTAAAAGTATCTTGACAGACCCCATCCGTGGGTGGGCGTTTCTTGTTTTGTGCTATGGCTTGGCTAATAATGCAGCTACAAATGCATTTATTATATACAAAGATACGAATGAAGAATTCCGGTCTTCTCGTCAATTGTTTCTGAAGTCTTTAGGAATTGCGTTAGTCCAGAAAAATATGAAAATACGAGCGCTAAATATGCGTATACCGAGAACATCGCGGTTACTTGCCGCAAAATTTTCTGAGCAAACGACGAGGGATTACCCACAGCCCCGGGAAAACGGAGATGGTGTAAGTATTGTAAAAAACAAAAAATAGGTATTTTTGCCAATTGTGCAAAAATTGGTTATATATGGAACATATAAAATCATGTTGTGCCGATTGTTCATGAACAAAATTAACCCTAGAAAGGTGGACTATCAACTTATGTGGGTAAATTTGAAGACGATCCTCGGTTTTAGTCGCAGTTTTTCTTTAGTCTTGATTAAACAAGCGGTGAGTGTGTTTCTCCACTACTGTATTTATGTATTAGATTTTTTGAGGGCACGTCGTCAATTTTACGAAAGTCCACCTTCTACGTTAGTTTTTTTCTCTCAAGTTTATTTGGACGCCGGTGACGTTTTTGGTAAGTCATTATCTAATTCTTTTTTATATTTGTAGTAAATATTTTTTTATTTAATTGTAGCACTATGTCCTCACGAAAACCTTTAACGGCAAGTAAAATAAACGATGAAATATAGCGTATAATGAATGGTGAAGATAGTGAGCAGGAACCTTTTGAAGATAGTGGAAGTGACTGGGAGTTGAAGATGCTTTGGAGTTTGAATCGGACGATTCAGATAAAGAAGATGACTCTAAAAATAGTGGTAATTTCAAAATTTTCCAGCCATCTAGTTCATCTGTAAATTTAATGAATGCAGATATAAAAGCAATAGTGGTGGAAAGCGAAAAATCTACAGAAGAAGTACCTGGAACATCAGGTGAGAACTCCACTGTTTCTCAGTTTATTGTAAATCCGAGAAAGGCTCTAAAAGGTAAAAACATAAGTGGTCAAACAAAATACCTTCATTGTCAAAAAGAACGGCAGCTAGAAATATTATTCATTTTATAGCTGGTCCCAAAGGAAATGCCAAAAACTACATAAAAGTTGAAGAATATTTCTTACATTTTTTTTCAGAGGATATATTATGTCGTACTCTGTTACACTCAATACTGAAATTACAAGACAATCTAAAAAATATGCCAGTCGTCCTAATATTTCTGACATGAGTAAAAATGAGCTACAAGCTTTATTGGCAATTTTGATAATGCTTGCAGCAAATAAAGACAGTCATCTATCTGTGAAATATATGTTTGACAGTAATATATCCGGAAAATTTTATCAGGCTTGCATGAGTGGTCAGCGTTTCAAATATCTCACAAACTGTCTTAGGTTTGATGAAAAGGAAACACGAAAAGAAAGGCAGCAAGATGATCCTTTTGCGCATATACGCGAAATATGGGACATTTTTATTACCACCTGCAGAGCATCATATACACATTTATCCTATCTGACTATTGATGAACAGTTAGTAGGATTTCGAGGACGTGGCCCTTTTCGAATGTATTTACCTGATAAACCTAATTCGTATCGTCTCAAAATCGTAATGATGTGTGACAGCTCTTCGAAATATATGATCGATGCTATTCCTTATTTAGACAAGAAAACCAATACAAATGGTTTGCCGTTGGGTACATATTTTGTAAAGGAACTTACAAAATCAGTTCATGGTAGTAACAGAAATATTACCATGGATAACTGGTTTACATCAGTTAGCTTAGCAGAGGAGTTATTAAAAGATCAGTACAAACTGACAATTATCGGAACTATTCGCAAAAATAAAAGAGAAATTCCACAGGAATTGTTCAATGTAAAGAAGAGAGTCCCCAATACATCTATCTTTTATCTATGTTTTGATAAAGAAAGACATTGGTATCATATATGCCAAAGAAAAATAAGGTAGTTTTACTTCTTTCAACACTTCACGAAGGTGTTGATGTTTCCAAAATAAATGGCAAACCCACTATAATAACTGATTATAATGGAACAAAAGGCGGAGTGGATACATTTGATCAAATGTGTTCGAATATGAATGCGGGTCGTAAAACGAGGAGATGACCTTTGTGTATCTTCTATAATATGATAAATATTGCAAGTATTAACTCGTATGTTATTTACACCACAAACACATTAAAAGCAAACAGAAAAGTTTTATCCAGATACGAATATATGGTTGAATTGGCTCGTCATCTCGCCGAACCCTGGCTGAGAGAACGATTGTGTATTCCAACTTTACGTCGAAATCTTAAGCAAAATATTAAAGATGTCCTCAAAATTTCCGAAGAATTTGAACGTCCGTTACCTGAAAAAAAGAAACGCAAGGCATGTTTCCATTGTCCGAGTAAAAAGAGGCGCATGACTACCACATATTGCAACCAATGCCATCACGCTATATGCGACGAACACCGAGGTAATATATGTACAATGTGTGCAAACGAGTAGTGTACATCGACTTTATTTATATGTGTACCACTTACTAAGACTTACATTTTTTCTAATTTTTTGTAATAAAAGTGTTTATAATTACATTTGTATTTTTTTTTCAATTTTTTGTTAGATGTCGTAAAAATTACGATAGTCCACCATAACTGTCAGTAAATAATAGTCCACCTTTCTAGGGTTAACAATATTTAATCCCCTCTATTTTCTATTTCGAACTTTAATTTTGGATATTTAGTTTTTACTTGTATTGCTGTAAGTATATAGAGTTATAATATTGTCTTTTTTTATATTTTTCTTTTGTATTTTACCGTTCATGATTTTTTTAATAATCTCTTGTAAAAAAATAGTGGTGGTAATTATTTCGCAGTAAGCTATACCAATACATACTGATTATTAATACACATATATGTACATTTAGGTTGTACAACAATACATCAGTAAGTTTCCTTAAAAATATTTTGAAAAAAAAATTTTGTAATGAGAAAAATGATGTTTAAAATTTGGTTCTGATAGACTCCACCCGTGCATTTGTGTTACAAGAAAGTCACCCGTGGAAAGGAGAGTTAAACTTAAATGAAAATTATCAACATATTTTACCCAAGAATATTTACATAAATCTAATTTAGTTTTCTGAGGATTTAACATTTTATTGGCACATATAGGATTTAAAAGTTATTGAAGATGAAATATAAGTCATTGTTATATTGCAATTGCTGATTTGTTTTATATCTCGAACACACACTTAAACCATTTTGGTCTGTTGATCCTTTAATACAAAATTCCGGCTATTCTTGATATTTATAGATACACCTTCAAGCAATAAAGAACCTTTTAAGCTTTGTTTATGTTTATATTATTTTGTGGTTACTAATTCGAGTAGTGCAAGCACTTTTGTATAAAAATACAGTCGATTTATGATTATTTCAAAGTGACAATTTAAGATCACTTTAAAAATGTTGATTTTCTCGTATACATTTTATTAGGTAGCATTATTTATCTTGAGATTTAGTAATAGCTTAAAACTTTTAAAAAATGCTTAAACTGCATGAATTTTATGACGCGCTGTACTTGGGGCTCGCGACCAACCATAGACGTACGGATATTTTTACGAATTCGATTGGCCACGTATCAAATTTGAGGGATAATTCGCTCGTGTATGAATGTTGCCTGTATCGAGCCAATAGGAGGCATGTTCTTTGCGTGGGATACCATTTTTATACAATAGAGTACGAAAAAAATTAACCAAGTATATTCCGTTTATTATAAAAAAAGGTAAAAACAATGAATAAAAAATTACACTTCTCATTGCTTAATATAAATAAAATAACAAATATGTATCTTGTGAGATTTCTGTTAATCCATGATCCACACTTGGCCAAAAGTCCACAACTGATATCCGATGGGCTTAAAGTTACTTTTTAATTCATATATCTATCAATATAATGTATAGTCTCAAACACAACTTCAACTGTGATTAGTGCTATTATCATCCATTCTAATCTTATGTGATGTTTGTCACCCAAATGAGATGATAGCAATTCTATTAAAGCTACACAGTGGTTTATTTTCTCGTTCATCACCTAAAAAATAAAAGATTAAATCCGTAAACTGTTTTCAGAAAATTAAGTTATATTCAGATCTTCACACTTCAAAAAATTAACACACTATCAAAAAGAAAACAAACATTTAAATTTTATTTTAGTCAAAACAGCATCTAATTTGGATAAATTAGATAAACACCCCATTTTTGACATTTCAGCTTTCACAGTTTATAAAATATAACTCATAAGCGTTAAATAATCTACACTCAGATGCAAAAAAACGCAACGGAGAAAATTTTGGTCAAATTCAAAGTATTTCAGTTTTTTCATTTTTAGTCCTATTTTGATTGATGATTTTTTTAGCAAACTGTGTAAAAATTTATAAATTTTAATTATTTAGTATAGTGAGTTTTTTAATCAATTTTTAATTTGACATATTATATGGGGTTAATCGAAAGGTTAATTTTGTATCCTAACATTGAAACATCCTGCGGAATAATTCAGGTAGGGGATTTTCGTAAAACCTTGTTTTTCGGTTGCAACCATGTCTTCTAAGTATTAAGTTTTTTGTTTCATGTGAAAATATTTCTTGGTTCATTTTTAGGAGCAAAATGACTGTGCCACCCACAATTTACGACTTTTACTATTACTTTACAACACCATAATACAAAGTATCACAACATATAGATGCGAAGTGTGGCCCCTAAAAGACAGAACAGAGAAAATACTTAGAACAACAGAAATGGACTTCTGGCGCCACTCGGCGGGAATCTCTAGACGCGACAGAATACCAAATGAGAGTCCGAGAAATCATGGGGGTTACACATAATATTATTGATGACATCAAAACTGTAATACTAGCGGAGGCAAGTCCGCTGTCACCACTGTAATATCCTCGGTTCAAACTTTAAAGGATGCTTATCTCTGCGAGCGGAGGCAAGGCTTACTGGTCCCACTAGTCTGAACTGGCTGGTTCGCCCTCGCGAGTTCAGGAGGGTAGGGAAAAACAGGATAGGGGCTGAAGGACACTCCGATGCAGTTATAACCAATAATGATTCGTTCAGGCGCGAAGGGAGATGAGAAGAGACCTTAGCTAGAAATTAAAGGGTGGACAGTCTACGAAACCACGGAAATGGATGCCATCAGAAGATCGATGAGAATATCAAGAGCCGACAGAATACGGAATAAAGTGATAAAACAACAAATTGGTATAGAGGGCACTGTAGTTGAGGATATTGAGAGAAAACAGCTCATATGGTATGGGCATGTGAGCCGAATGGGGGACGAAAGATTGTCTTAAAAAACGATGATGTGGAAAACCCCCAGAGAAGAGGAAACGAGGAAGACAGAGCTGGAACCTGGGAGTTAGGAAAGCGATTAGCGCTCGAAACTAGACGAAGACCTAACTCAAGACAGAATACAGTGGAGTTTGGGAGTTGGATACAATCTACGTTTTTATATATGACTTGGGTTAGTATATAGATTTAGTTACCTTCGCGTATTTAGGCCCTAGCTAATGAATACGCCCTTCAGTTCTACTGGAATTCAGGTTCAGTTTGTTGAGATACCGCGCGATATCACGAATTTTCGAAACACCCAAAACCCGACACTTATACGGTACTATTATCCCGTCGAAATACAATAGCGCACTCGCTGGTGCCGCGTATTATTTCCCCGATCACGAGGTCAAATTGTTATTCTTTGTATAATTTAAAATGTATACGTTAACTGTATCGAATTTATTCTTTATTTAATTTGGAATATATAATAATTATTTAAATAATTATTACTCTTCTCTAAGCTACTACCCCTTATTTTTTTTTCTTTATTTTCTTGCTATGTTTACATTACAAAACGACACAACTCAGATGGTACGGACACGTAAAGAGAATGACGGAGAATAGAATACCAAGACAAATTCTTGAATGGCAAACAAGAGGTAGGCGGAGACAAGGAAGGCCTAAAAGAAGTTGGAGAGGAGTTGATAAAGAAATCAGGGAAAGAGAACGGGAGATTATATATATATATATATATATATATATATATATATATATATATATATATTCATTTGTAATACGACGATGGAGGCTTTTTTGACTGATATCGAAGGAATGTCATATGACCTCCCAGAAGCACTGTATTTAAATAATTATTAAAAGCAACGACATGATCTTGGTTTTAATAAACAATGATAACTATAACAAAACATAAAAAAAATTTAATGTAACTTAACCTAAGTAATATCCAACAAGCGAGAGCTGGCGGGTTGCGAGTAAAACAAATTGAAAAGTGGAAGGGATTGCTCATTTCTATTGCAGTCGGCTACTAGGAGTTCACATCGTGTAATTAGTGCTAGATTTCTGACAGTGTTGTCAAGTATTTACATTTTTATTTGGAGTGGCCCTATATTATAAACTATTATTTATATTTATTAAAATGACAAGTGTATTAAAAGGCAGACCTTTGGGATCTCAAGCACGAGAAATAATTTTCAATGTTTGTAAGTTTACAACCGAATGCAGATAAAGTCTTAATTGATTTAAAAAAGATACAAGAACGTGTAGCTCAATTAACTGGTAATTATAATACTCATTTTCAAAATAAATTCAGATTTAAATAATTTAATTTAAGTTACAATCTATAAATACAGAACAAAAAATAGCGGTAAATAATAAGTAAACAATTTATCAGTTAATTAGTACTTTACAGTTCACTATTATTGATAATACATCATGTTTATTTACTACAGATATGCTGGACACTTTAATTATACATTTGAATACGTTGCATTTTTCATAAATGGGAAACGAAATATGATATTGTAAGCAATAACATCAGAAAAGGCCTATAATGAAGCTAGGTAGGAGAACGCCTACCACTTTATGTTGTTTATAGAGCTGAAAGATTATATGATAGATGGATAACGGGTGGCCCCCTCGTACATTGTATACTAGAACAAAATCTGGATGGCTTGATGCATCAACTTTCCAAGACTGGTTTTTTAAAGTTGCTTTACCGTGGTCAAAACGATGTAACAGCACCAAGGTTTTGATTGGGGACAACTTGTCCTCACATCTCAATATTGAGATAATAAGGGCTTGTCAAAGGGCAAATATAAGATTTGTATTTCTGCCACCTAATTCTACAGGGCTTACCATCGAGCAAAAAGATAAAAGAGGGAATGTAAAGGTAGTGGGGACAAAAATATTGTTAGACAGGAAGTGCTATCTTGAGAGGCCACTTTAAACAAGGAAAGACAGTCTCTTTCCTTGTTTAAGAAGTCAAATTTAGTTTGGTTATGTCATTGTTTCTCCCAACTGTCACATGAAATTTTATTTATATTGAAGTTTTTTTACCAATTATGTCACTTTTTAGACTATTATCGTTAATATTTAATTAAAACTTTCTTGTCTGAAAAATATTTTACAGGTATTGTTAACAAGTGTTGGAAAATTTAAATTTAGCGCCTTTGCATTTCCGGATATGTCCGCCATCAGAGGCCACTTTTTTGGTCTCCTTTTCATAACGATTAGATTCCCTCTTTTATCTTTTTGCTCGATGGGGCTTACACAACCACTTGATGTTGGATTTTTTCGGCCTTTAAAAAGAGCCTGTTAAAATATCCTTACTGATTTAAAAACTAGTCAGCCTAACTTAAACTCAGTTGAAAAAACCATCTTTCCTCAATTGCTAACAAAACTAATAAACGCGATAGAACCAAACTTAAAAAAAAAATCTTCAAAGTTCATTTCGCGCAACTGGAATTTGTCCCTTTGACCCACATGAAGTGCTAAAAAAGATGCCAAATGAGAGATTTGCGAAAAGAGTAAGCTCTGAAATTGATAACGCATTAATAAATTTTTTAAAACAAACAAAGAAAGGAGATACCATTTAAAACGGAAAGAAAAAGTTGCTTAATACTGAACCCGGTCAATCAGTTCAATTTGAAGAATTTGATCAGAATCAGGAGGGAAGTGGGATCGCGGATTCAGAGGAAGAAATAGAGATAGAGACGAATGCCGACGAAAATTTAGCAGAAGGAATGGAGATGGAGATGAATAACAGTGACGATGAAAATGTTGAGAAGGCAGATGAATTACATGAAGAAGAGCAGGATGAAATGGTTGAAAATATCGAAGTAGATGGAAATAATCTAAAAATTGGTACTTTTGTGGTGGTCCAATTTCTTACAAAAAAACCGTTACAACATTTCATCGGGATCATAGTAGAAATAATAAACGAAGACAATATGTACTATACCGTAAAATGTTTAAGAAAAAATATAAATGCTTTTGTTTATCCAAACATATCAGACATATCCGACGTCAATTTTGAAGACATTAGAAAAATATTAAAGAAACCTTTCCAAAATAGAAGAGGATATTTTTCTTTTAAAGAAAATTTAAATTGTTTTCAGTTATAATTTGTTTTGTGTTTTTTTAATAAAAATATAATAATTTTTCTTGTATTTTTTTAATAAAAAGTTCTGAAAAATAGTTTTTTTTCTAGTTTTATTAAAAAATAAAATTCAGAAGTGTATGGTAGACAAAGTAGTCAAATCAAAACGTATGCCGCGGGCAAAGTAGTCCTATTAAGTTCCAATTTTGCCCTACAGTGAATTTAAAATAGGTGGGCAATGTTGAACTTTTCCGGGGCAACTTTGCCCACCTTGCCTTTAATTTCTTTTCTCGGCTGTGTTAAAGATTGTGATAAAAAATGATAAGTACATTCTCTGTTAACATCTCGCTAGTTCTCAAAATAATTTTTGTATGTATTTATATATGCCAAGAAAAGAAAAATTTAAACAAAACTGAAATTTGCTGGGCAAAGTAGGCCATATATACGGTACTCAAAATACAAATTTAGGTGTGTCTAATAATATACTAAGAATAATTACCTTCGTTCTTTTGTTGATACAAAAATATGAACAAACTTGGTTGTACATATTTTCCAACTGTTCATTATCCCAATAAAAATCCGGAGTATCTAAAACGTCTGAACTTAAGTTGAGATAGTGACGGAGTACAAATAATTCTCCATGTTTTTTAAGTACATCTTGCCGACTTAATTTAATAGTTTTGCCACTGAAAAGTAAATAAATAAATCAAAAGATTAAAATCATTTTTATAAAAAAACTTTTGTTTGATATATTTTTTCTCATTTTACGAAAAAAACCCATTATTTAATTTAATAAGGAATTTTAAATAAACTAATTATTTTGATACCTTAATTTGTCAAGAAATCTATATAAAATGTATATATAAACTGTTTAAAAATTTAAGTTATAATTTTTATCCAAATCAACCATTAATGATTTCCCAAAATTATTTACTTTAATAATCATTCTTACTTTTTTAAATCATTTGTGACAAACTCGATTTCATCAATAAATTTTTCCAATGATGACTCCCATATACCTAACTTGACACTAAGCATCATGGCATTTGAAAATGTAAACTTCTGAAGTATAAGATTGGTTTCTGTTAACGGCAATACAAAATCTCCATCTTTGTCCACACAGCTTAATTGACTAGGTTGGCTAAAAATTAAGGAAATACATAAGGCTTTATATTATAATTTTGAATGAATGCCTTCTAATGTAGCATAAATTAAAGTCAAATGCAAAGCTAAATAAATATAAATGTATGTATTTATATTGCATATATGCATATTTGTAGGGATCTAAACATTGATTATCTTATCATGTCCAATAATAAGCAATATTTTAACGAGTATTTAGTAAGTTATAATCTGAGAGTTAACGTAGGTTGGGCTAGCTGTTTGCCGTCAGTCGCTGGGAGCTTAGCGTGTAAGCAAGAAGTAGTTGGTTTAGACTGTGATCCTATACACGTCTGCACAGTAGCGAGTCTCACCGTCTACTACTACTACTCTTCTGCAATATGGAATAATTGTCCTGCATTTGGTATCTGAGTCCATTCAGGAATGTTGTTTAACCAAGAAACTTGTTTCCTTCCTACACCTCTACGACCCTCTATTTTGTCTTTAAGGATCAGTTGTAAGATTTTATATCGACTTCCCCTTACTATATGTCCCAGATAAGACATTTTTCAATGTTTTAACAGTCTTTAGCAGTTCTCTGTCTTTGTTGACACTCCTTAGTACTTCTTCATTAGTTTTTCTTGCTGTCCAAGTATCTTCAGCATTGGTCTATGAACCCACATTTCCAATTCTTCCATTTTGTTCATGATTGATACTTTTAGCTTCTACACTTCTGCACTATACAAAAGTACAGACCAAACATAACACTTAACCATTCTTTGCCTTAGTTCTAAACTGAGATGGTTATTGCAAAGAAATTACTTCATTTTCATAAAAGTAGTTTTAGTCATTGCTATTCTATGTTTTATTTCTATGTCTGGATCTAGTTGGTCCATTATCACAGTTCCCAAATATGTCATTTTGTGAACTTTCTCAACTCACTCTATATATTAACATAATTATTTAATCAAATATGAAAATAGATTCAAGCAAAACTCTGAAATTTCGAGATTTGTATTGTAAAATTGGCAATACTGTATTGCGCCCGGGATTTGCTAGTTAGCTACAACTGAATTGGAAGAGTTTAGTACAGTTTCAGGTGACTTCCAGTGTTTATTAGTGACTTCAGGTAGTTGTTACTAAGGTGATATTGTTTAATTGTCTAAGAGGAATACATTAGCTGATTGGTCGCCAGGAAAGAGAGCCAAAGTAATTGAATCACATATTTCAGAAACCCCATAACTCCATTTTTATAAAATGTTGAGAAATTAGAAAAAACCTTATTTCATGAAATATTTTTAAAAACCTGTTGTGCTTTTGTAATAAAATCATGAGATTAATGTGTTTTAATCAGTTTGCATAAAAAGTGGTGAATTTTAGCTTTATATTATGTTTTTTTTTCCTTTTTTACTTTTGTGGATTTTTGGGGTTTTTGAAATATACACATTTTTCAAAGATGTAAAAATAAGAAAACAAGTTTTATATAAACATTTATTCAAAAATATGGGCATACAGAATAATATATCAGTAGTAATCACTCATCTGGTTGTATTATTTCATTTGAATCTCCCTCGCATGTTGGCAAATTAAAAATTTCTCCGTAAAAGTCCTTGACTTCTTCATTATCTGGTAGATACTTTTCCAGTTTTCTCAAGTCTTGCATCTTCTTGATATTAATAGGAATATGTCCTTCGGTGTACGCTTTTCTGGTAGGGAAACTAATAACATCCTTGTTGCTATTTCGTAGCCGAAAAGAATGATGTATCAAGCCATCTATGTACTCTTTTGCAATAACAATTCCATCGTGATCACTCGAATGAATAAAGTGTCGAAAGTTGGATATTTTAAAAGCAATTTTTTGATCTCTTGGGATATTTCTGCCCAAAGATTCATTGGAGAGCATTGTCTTTTTAAAATATGTGGGCCACCATCCTTTAAAGTTCAATATGTCATCAGAATTCGGCAAAACTACAGTAAATCGGTTTAAACTCTTGTTAGATGTTATGATAAGCTCTACATACTCTTTTAAGGTATAAATCCTGTCTGATTTTTTAATTTTCCTTTTAAGAACGGAAAAATCCCGATCACACGGTAGAAATGAATGTCCCCGTGTGGGATAATATTGTTCAATCTTTTTGAATCTATTGGTTGAAACTAATGCAGAAAAAAGTCTAACTATTGTATGGTTCTTGTTCTGGGCGGCACATGCATCAGAAAAGAAGTGAAAATGGTTAATATTTTTAAATTCTGGATTGTTGTCAAGAAAATGTAATAAAAATGATACAACTTCATTAGGCCCTTTAGTTCCTGTTCCCTCATGATACACATAGAATGTTACCTTATCATCTTTCAGATTATGAATACATAAAACATTAACAGTAAGTTGTCTTAAATAGAATGTTTCCTGGACAGGAATAACTGGTAGTTGCAGGTTTTGCATATAATCAATGCAAATACCACCTACATTCTCATCTACTTTACAAAGTTCTGAAATGGTTTTAAGTTTGTTATAAAATTTGTTTGCCCGTTTCTTATGAACAATTTTTTCTGCCAGTGCCACTCTTTTTGCTGTTTCATTTAAGAATTTACTTTTTATTTTAGTTTCTAACTCTTCACATGTAGAGCAGGTGTCGACTTGTGGGCGACCGAAAGATAATGAAAATTGTTCTTTAAAAATCTTTTGATAATATGAATATTTAACGTTTTGTTCTGGGTGAACCTCTTTAAACAACTTATACATTATAAAAATATTTAATTTTTCATTTAGATACCTATATTCTCTACTAGTATAATGGGCCGTTTTGACCGGAAACGAAGCAATATGTTGTATGATTGAATCTATAACAAGTCCTGACTTCGCATTGCCAGATTTATTTTTACCTCGTTTATCTATAGGAACTTGCCCCTCTCGTCTTAACGTGGTTAAGCGACGCAACCGATCATTAGTAATGCCAAAAATGGCAATAAAAGCTTTTCTACAGATTTTATTTGTACCTGTTGGTCCCTGAATTGTATATTTAAAAGAAGCTAGTCTATCAGGCTTGCAAGAAATATCAGCTGGTTTTTTGCGCCTTCGACGTGCAACTTCATGGACTGAAATAAGCGATTGTAGCAAACAATCTTGTTCGTTCTTGGTGTTAAGGCTCCTGAAGTTTCGGAATAATTGAATGCGTGCTTCTTCAGAAATTTGTAAAAAGCATTTTTGGCGACATCTAAAAATAAGTATCATTCAAATTACGATAATAAAATATTAGATATTGTCTAGCTAGTTAGTAATATTTTAAAGTTTTAAGGCTTACTTGCAGTCTGGTCCTTGGTTCACTTCAGGCGCCAAGACACCACTCCAGCGTTTATAGGCAGACCCTTTAACTCTAGAGTTTTTAATAACTTCTCTTTTATATCCACTGATATTACGTATTCCACGCTTTTTTTTGCGCGTTGAAGACTGATTTTCAATTTCCATTACTTAAATTATTATTAATTTTTACTGTAATAACAACTAACCATATGTAGAGATCACAAATAAATAATGTGCATAACCTCAAAAACAAAAACCTGTCATGTCAAAAATCAGTGTGTTCAAATATTATATTTTAGAAACACCAAAATTCCTGGAGTTTTGGTGTTTCTGCAATACATGAAATTTTCATCTGGCAACAAATGTATGTAAATTTAGTGAGTTTTGGGGTTTCTGTTTACTGTTAAGTGCGTATACCTATATACTACCAAAAATTACAGAAAACTGTAATTTCATAAATTTGTGATTTTTGGGGTTTCTGAAATACGTGATTCAATTATCCTAGATATAAAAATAATAGCTGGGGATACAAAGCTTTTATAGGGCAAAAGAATTCAAGACAAAACACAAAACATTCAAATATAGCATAAAAATAAACTAAGAAATACCAATTTATAAAAAAGTGTTTTGTTATATAATGTTTTCTTATCATTTTACCTTTTTGGATCAAAATATTTATAATTCATAACTTCAGACTCTGATTGTACCAGTCTCTCAGAGTAGCTATCTTCTTGAAACTGCCTTAAAAATTTCAAAACATTGCTGCTTTCCAAATCTGTTATATTCCAAAATACAACACTACCTACAAAAATATTAATATTTAAAAATGATGTAATGTGATGTAACAAATGTAATTCTTACCATCCCTAAAGAAAAATATTTCTCTCTGTTCTTTATCGACTTTATATTTTGCTGTAGCATGTAGGACATCTGAATTATTGTCAATTCTTTTAACATCATACAGATTTTGTTTCTGTAATCCATCGAAAAGGTTTTCCAAATTGTATTCTTCAGCAGTTGCAAATGCTATCACATTGTATATCCCTGGTTTTTTTTCTTCCTCTTCCAAAGTCTTTTTCTTTCTCACAAGCCTCTTTTTAACTTGAATAGAAGAAACTGTATCGTGAATATTCAAAGTTTTTGGTGAAGCACATAGGCTAGCTGTACTACTAAAATTATACTTTGAGTGAGCTATATACACAGGGACTGTCTTGTCCAATAAATTCAAATTCCATTTATTTAATTGGGAAAACTGTCTGTTACATTTTAAGACGTTAATAACACAAAAACTTACACGTTTTCCAATATTCATGTTTTTTTAAATTTCATTGGTTATTGTGGTAATTTCTTCTTCTTTTTTAAATACAAAGTCCAATTTCTATCACTGTGAAGTTAACAAGTTAAAGTTCTATTTTTAACTCACGGAAATATATCATAGGCGTGGGTTTGTAACATTTTAAACACATTTAGAATATAATAATATGAAGTAAATAATTAGAAATTAGACATATAATTTTGGTAGATCTCTTAAAACAAACATTTTACCCATTATTTTATGAAATATTATTTAATCAAATATTTTTAGAATAAAATCGACTCTGTTATTTTAAAGAAATAAATTTGCCAATAACCATCTTACAATTCTTACTTATAATGACCATTTTATTAGATCTCTTTTGACTTCTAATGACATAACAACTGTTTTCTTTGGTTTTCTATACCAAGAAAATAATAATTTAGTACGATAATATTAATAATCATTATAGATCAAGTTCATATTTATATAGACTGAACAGCTATACGATAGTAGAACTTCCTCGAACGTTTTTGTATGGGTATTAAAACAGCAATTGAATATGCAAATAAAAGTTGTAATAATCTTTATGTATAAACCGAATAGTTTTCCTACCTTGGAAAATGATTGTTTACACTTATCAGTAATAAGTTTCATAAAACCAGCCCAAAAAATTACTAAAATATTATATTATTATTTTAATGTTTCGATTTCGACCAGACCAATTTGCTTGCAGCGAGTACAGACCTGTACGAAACTGGTTATGAATTTTTATTTTTTTGAATGAAATCTTAAAAGAAGATATTTTGACATTGACATTTGCATTGAAAAATAATATTTTGAATTTGGGTTAGATGCTAGATGAATATGGGCAATACAAAATTACAAATATTTAGGATGTGAAGGTTTTTCAGGAATCTAAAATCTTGTAATTTTAAATGTAAACTTTTTGTATACCCTTGATCCGTTATAAAAATGGTTTTATTGAATAGCAAATTAAAATTCCGCAAAATATAATTGTAATAGAAACCATGTACTAAATTCTCTTCAATTAATGTAAAAGTTGATTATTATTGTTTCTATTTTAAAATTAAATGCTTTTATTTCTACATAATCAACTCTAAACATATCTATAATTTAAATTCCACTCAAGAGATAAAAACAGGATATTGTTTAATCCTACAATATCGTATTGGGTTTTCTCATATTATTTTTCAATATTATTGTTTTTATATATTGCGGTGTTTGTGGTCTTACTTAGTTGAATTTTCTATTCCTTCCAGTTAAGACATAAACTATTTTTTTTTGATCAACAAGTAGTCTTGAAAACAAATAATCTGTATTTGCCTTTGATATATTTTTCAAAATGAATCAAAATAAAATTAAATATTCATCAAAAATGATGCCTAGTATTTTTAACCAGTGCCAACCAATTGCCAATACAACTGAAATGGAAGAAGTGTTACAGGTGAGTATTAATTTAATTTAAAATATCTTTCAAAGATTGTATGTTTATTTTTTATTATGATCATTATTATTAAAATTTTACTATAAGTATCTTATAGCACATTTTGCAAATGTTATTGAATCCAAGAGGAATGAGGAAAGGATAATAATATAACAAGTCTATTTATTACAAAAAAAATTATTTCAAATCCTTTATAAAAGGTATATAATAAAATTCCCAGATGGGCTATCATAAATATATTACAAAACGTTTTCAGATTGTTAAATCCATCATCAGTGTAAACGAGGTATACATGCTATGAGCCACCAAAATATATGGGTCAAAACCCTTTAAATGATATAAATTTATAGTTGTTTTACATTATATGTGGTTACAAATTATGATGTTTAAGTTACCGTTGGAATTGGTAACATGGCGATGTATGACCCTACATAGGTAAAATGGTCCTGAGACGAAGTGTCTTTGAGGACCTGTTGATAACAACTGATTATTACTACTGATACTATTTATTAGGTACATAGAATTATGAAAATAGGACAAATACCAGATGAATGCAGAAGCAGCAATGTACAAATTATTATGAGGCATTAAAACTACTTGGCCATACTGAAAATGTGAGAGATTAATTGTTAGACTAACATTTAGATTATAATGTTAGAATAACATTTAGATACCAACAATTAGAACAATGTTCTATTTTTTTGTGATACACATTTGCAATCAATTACATCAAAAGTTTGTTAAAAAATGCATATTAAAAAAATGGAGAGGCTTCTACAACCAATTGAGCCAAGATAGATTTTTTTTCTTTGAAAATCCAAATATTTTTTGTTGATAAACATTAAGACTTGAATTGTTTAGCATTTTTAAAAGAAACTCCAAATTTTTTGCCAAATAAGAAACAAAATAATGGAGCTTTTGTAGCTAAAATCCTCATGGATAACATGCTAATTCAACTGATATGTTTATTGGTGCTCGAGATATCCACATATAAGAGTAGTAGTATCTACAAATAATAACTACAGAGGATTCATTGTTCAATATATGTGTGTGTACTCTGGAACATTGGCTCAAATAATAAGAAACAGTCCTAGGACATACTAATAATAAATAATTGGTGAATATCAAGGTTAATAACATAAATTTTCAATGTGAAATTATCTATTTGTGCTTTTTAAGTCGTCAGTGTAACCAGCCCTAACTCTTATGCAAACTTCAATTTGCGTGTGCATACTCCTAAACAAATTGTCAATATTTTGTTGTGGCAGGTTGTTTCATTCTACAAGAGCAATTTGTACTAGCTGTGCAGTGTTTGGTGGATTCTCCCGGTAAGCTCTAATTCTTCTTTAAAGCATATCCCACAATTGCTCTATAGGGTTAAGGTCGGGTAAAAAGCAGGCTATTCCTGAACAGTGATATGTTCTGCTTCAAGGAAGTCTATAATCACTCTGCTGATATGTGCAGGCGCATTATCATGCTTAAAAATTAAATTTTCTTCCATTGCACATCTCCAGAGCCTAACTACAGTTTCTAGAACTAAATCGAAATACCTATGAGCTATCAAAGTTGGTTAAATGAAAATTAAAGAAGTTTTTTTACTGATCATAATTTCACCTCAGAACATGACACTTTCTCCTTTATATCTGTGAACAGATCTGGTAATTTCCTTTTTTGCTTCTTCACTCTTTAAGTACACGAATTCGTCGATCATCTGATTTTTCACAAATTCTAGTTTCGACTGAAAATATCACATTTTGCCAATTTCTAATGTTCCAGTTTTGGTGTCAAAGACACCAATTTAAGCGATCAATATTGATCTGTCTGTTTAACTTGGGAACCCGTAACTGTCCATTGCTGTATAGTCCTTGGGTACGAAGTCTTTTTCTTATCATTTTAACAGAAACACTTACACCTGTAGCTTCCAAAACTTGCATTTGGAACTGTGCGTGAGAAATTGTTGGGTCTCTTCTAGCTAATTGGCCAATGAAAAGTTCGTGGCGAGTCATTGTTACTTTTTGGCCACTTTGTCTTAGTTTATTCTTAAGCGTTACTAATTCCTGATACCTAGCATAAGTTTTTGACACAACGCCCTGTGTTACTCCTACAACTGCCGCTATGCCCATCTGAGACAGTCCTTATGCCACAAGACCAATAATCTTTCCCCTTTGTGCTTGCGTTAACCGCACATAAGGCATATTTTGTGTTGTCTGATTGTTTTATCGGTTTGTTAATTTTCAATAAAAAACTTTATTCTCCGCAACAATAACAAGTTTTTTCAAGATAAATAAATATTGGTTTGAACTACATGGTAATTTCATATAAATTTGGTTATGTGTATTCCTATTGGTTATATTCGCTATTGTTGCCATCTTCCTTTGTTGTATTAATTTGTGATATTTTATGTGTTAGTCTAGATATCATGATGTCCATGTTTTGTATTTAGGAACCACCTGCTTGGATTTCGAGGGTACAACCTCTACAACCCAGATCATGTACTGTAGCCAAAAATTACAAAGAAGATTGCCATTCAGAACTAGATTACTTTTCTGTGAGACCTAGAATAGATGCTAGATTAGTACCAAAAATGTTAGTGTGCCATGATTACAAAGGGGGATATCAAGCTGACAGGTAATACAAAGATAAAATCATATTGTTTAATTTTACCTTATTGTGGCTATTCGAAATTATTACAAGCAATAAAAACATAATCTGGTTGCTATGGTGTACAATAAATAGGTAACGAAATTATCAATTATAGTGTATTCAATTATATAACTATGGAGCATAATGTATGGTGATTCATTCAACTCTATTGTATGATTGTCGAGCATGATAAGATAATATGGGAAAAGTTATATACAAAAGTAATTTATAAGCTTAAACTTCTTCTTGATTTACCTGTCTTTGACAAATGTTGGGGATCATCATGGCAATCTTTATCTTATCTGCAGCAATGCGGAAAATCTGCACATATGTTGTGTTGAACCAGGTTCTGAGGTTCTTTAACCAGGATTATCTTCTTCTTCCTGGACCTTGCTTTCTAAATATTTTTTCTTGCAGGATGACTTATAGAAGGGCATATCTAGATTCATTTCGCATAATGTGTCCGAAGTATTGCAATTTTCGGTATTTGATGATGGTCAGTACTTCTTGGTTGTCATTCTTTTTAGGACCTCCTCATTTGTGACTCGGTTAGTCCACGAGATCTTAAGTATTCCCTGATATGCCACATCTCAAATCTTCCAATCTTCTGCACATATCTTCGTTTAAGCTCCAAAATTTAACACCATATAAAAACAGACAAGGTGGATCTAGTTTTTTCGTTATGCGCTCTTATCTTCTGGCTGTTCATTTATTATGGCGCCGAGGTAGTTGTAGTTCATCACTCTTTCTGCTAGGGTTTAGTTGACGTAGAGTTGACCTTCAAACTCATTAGAGCGACTAGGTAAGAAGCCCAAAGACTTCTCTGATGAGTCCTGCAAGGACGAAATACGTATACGTGAATTGTAGAGGCACTATATTATTAAATCAAATCTTAACTGCTTTTTCTACTTAGATAAATATTTTGTCAGAGTAAATATCGAAGATTAGGGA